TACATACATACATACACACACTCGCACACAGACAGACACAGTTACAGACACAGACACAGACACAGACACAGACATATATATATATATATATACATATATAGATGTATTTATATATTTAGTATTATATATAGTGATATATATTTATATTGTATATACGTATATTGTGTATAAACGTAAGCCTAAAGTATTGCAAAAGCCTATTGCATCTTAGTACACGACAGATTAATATACGGGAGATTGGCCCAACTGAATGTATCACACACTAAAGGTTGGTAACTGCATGATCCACCACACCAGAAGCTCATATGAGTGCTGTATCCTGTATCCTAACAGGTCCTTCTTGTTAACGCAACGTACACAGAAAAGAGGTAGACCGTTACAAAAATGGGTATGCGCCAACACGTCATGCAACAGCACCTGTGCAGTTTCTCAGTAGATGACCCATCACCCCAGGTCTCGGCCATAAACCCACCGGCATGACCGGACGCAGCACATCCCACCTGATGTTCCTCAATTACGATAGGAATTACTCCACGCAGAGCTAAGTGGTACGCTATGGAGGCACCAATAATACCTCCACCAAGCACTACTACTCGTCCTTCGGACGACATTCAACGTATTATTCTCAGGCCTTCAAGTCAACAACTGGCGTAATTTTGACATTAAGTTCGGATTTATATATCCCAATAACATATTTATTAAGCAACTTCTTTTATTGATGATTGGTCATGCACACTACTACTAGTGTATCTAGAGAACAGCGGCAAGCCATTGTGGGGAGGGATACATGTCAAAAAATTGTTTGGTAGCCTTCATATCGCCTGCCCTTTCGTTCAAAGAATGGTTTTATTAAACTCTTAGCGGTACCACACTAAGCGACAAAAACTGAGCATGCTTTTCTATTCGAGTGGATACTGTGTCTTTAGGCAGGTGACCGCCATAATATTTATTAATGTAGTTGATATCACCAGAACAATCCGTCACACAGTGGGCGGACGAACGAATATCAAAGTCAATTAATCTATCATCATGATACCGAGCATGACTTAGAAGCACTTGCGGTGAACGATTGAGGGACCAGACTCGTCGTACTCCTCCTTTGAGATCCACATCTGTTGGAAAGTGGATAGAGAGGCCAGGATAGATCCACCGATCCATACAGAGTATTTACGCTCGGCTGTAAATGATAGTAAGAAAATACGGATGAGTTACTAGCTATATTTCGTACATGCAACAAGTTATTATCCTCGAATCTAGAACTTAGCCCTAAGTACAAAAGGATACAGCACATAAACCATATTAAAACAGAAAACTTACGGGGTGCGATGATCTTGATCTTCATGGTGGAAGGTGCAAGAGCAGACAACTCCTTCTGCATACGGTCAGCAATTCCTGGGAACATAGTGCTTCCTCCGGACAGCACAACGTTAGCATAAAGGTCTTTACGGATATCAATATCACACTTCAAGATGGATTGGTAGGTGGTCTCGTGAATACCAGCAGACTCCATACCCAAGAACTGGGGCTGGAATAGAGCTTCAGGGCAACGGAAACGTTCGTTACCAATGGTAACAACCTGTCCATCCGGCAACTCGTAGCCTTTTTCTAACGACGACGAAGTTGAGGCTGTTTCAAGCTCCTGCTCGTAGTCTAGGGCTACATAGGCAAGCTTCTCCTTGATGTCACGCACAATTTCACGCTCGGCAGTGGTGGTGAAGGTGTAACCACGCTCGGTCAACAGACGCACCATGTGATCGGTAAGATCGCGCCCAGCTAGATCCAATCGCAGAATGGCGTGAGGAAGAGCAAAACCTTCGTAGATGGGAACAGTGTGTGAAACACCATCTCCGGAATCCATAACAATACCTGTTGTACGACCAGAGGCGTATAGGGAAAGTACGGCCTGGATGGCGACGTACATGGCGGGGGTGTTGAAGGTTTCGAACATGATCTGGGTCATCTTTTCTCTGTTGGCCTTAGGGTTACGGGGTGCCTCAGTTAGAAGCACGGGGTGCTCCTCGGGGGCTACACGCAGCTCATTGTAGAAGGTGTGGTGCCAGATTTTCTCCATATCGTCCCAGTTCGTCACGATACCGTGTTCGATGGGGTACTTGAGGGTAAGGATACCTCTCTTGGACTGGGCCTCGTCACCAACGTACGAGTCTTTCTGTCCCATGCCTACCATGATTCCTTGGTGACGAGGACGACCAACAATAGATGGGAAAACAGCACGGGGAGCATCGTCTCCGGCGAAACCGGCTTTGCACATACCGGAACCATTGTCTACGACCAAGGCCGCTACTTCGTCGTCACACATTTTGATATATTGGGGATAGATGGGAACTGAAAGGCTATATTGCGATGGTATTTTATATATATGGTATTGTATACATATATTGTTTACCATAGATGGTGCGCTTCTCAAGAAGAGGCCTATGCAGTCTGTCGAACTCTTCCCGCAACAATACTGGAAGCACGATACAAAGGCACAACAAAGAATTTCATTGGTCAAAGCCCGATTTCAAAACAAACTTGTTACTGAGTTAGGGGAATACCTACTCTAAAGAAGTGATACAGATAATAAATATCCCGAAAACGTATCTAAGTTTGAGACAAAAATAGTTTCATACATGTTTTATATTTATTGTTGAAGCCTATTGATTAATTGTTAGTAGTGCTTCAAAGAATTATACAGTTAGGAATTGATTACTGGCCGATGGTTCGCAGCTATTTTGGTTATTCTCTAATTTAGAAAAAGCACGTCGCAAATGAATATTTGTAACAGATATAGCCCAAACATAGACAGTTTTGGAAAATACCTAGTCCCAAAATGATTGCAGTATCATATTTTGATGTGTCAATTTGTCAATTTGTTCGCAGTTTGTTTGTTTGTTGTTTTCAACTTGTTTTTGTAATTAAAAAAAAACATAAAAACGAAGAGTGATATAAAAAAGGCGGCAGAGAAGTCATGACTCCTGATAGACTGGACCCACTCTACTAGCTAGAGAGTGAGTCACTGGGGAGTCATTTGGACTGCCTGCTTATTTCATTTTCACCGCTAAATAAATGCGTATTGTAAAGTTGACCACGCGTCACGAATCACGCGACTCGCAAAAAGCTAAGATCCACGAACGTGAGTCAGCTAAGTGCAAACGTTCTACGGCTATTCTCACCAAGCTTGGCAAGTGGTAACAGCCATACGTACGTTTCCTCTTGTACCGCTACACTAGTGCACTATCCAGACGAACAAAGTTGCCCTGTGATATGACTAAAATGACACTGATAGAAGTTGCTTGAAACCTAAGGTCGCGGAGAGGTATCCTTACTGCTTCGAAAAGCTATCTTATCACACAAACTTCTACGTCGTATATTTTGTTCCATAAAATGTGAGTTTTTGAAATATTAACGACAGCACAATTTGTTGAAAGTAGTCCACTGAGAGAGTATTAAAAAGCGTAGCTGCTGCTGGTATTATATTCTCCCGAATAGCAAGAAAAAGAATAAAGGTATGACACTGTGTATAATCCAAATATTATAATACACGATTGCTGCCTCTAGAGAGTTCAAGGTGACCACTACTATGAAATACACAAAATATTAAATTGATTCTCTGGCACTGACTTCCGGAGAGTGGATACAGCAGTGACAACTATGAAATCGTATTTCACCTGGGAGACTGGGACCGGGGGTTCATGACCCTCTAGAGGCATGGAACACGAAATGGAGAGAGTGTAATATATCTCATCTTTGTCTATGTATAGAGTGGTCACATCACACTATCAAAGTTAAAGTACACACTGCAGTCTACACCAGCATGTCTATGTAGCATTGTTGGCAATACATAGCATTCTAAAAAACATATTAATAGCTACAGTAATAATAATAGTAATAATAATAATAATAACAATAACATATATATGTAAGTATGTAAGTATGTATGTATATAAATATATATAAATATAGATATATATAAATATATATATATATACATACATACATACATACATACATACAATAGATATATAAATATATATATATATATATATAATATAATATAGAGCGCTAAACCATCATAAAGAACTCAACATGTAGATTAACGAAGACACAAATATGAATATTTCCGTGTATACATTAAACGTTCGTGTGTAAATAGTATATAGTATATTGTATATAGTAGATAGCATATATATATATATATATATATATATATATATATATACTACTACACACACACACACAC